TGAATCCCTACGGACTGCTGTATGAATCACTACAGGCTGCTGTATGAATCACTACGGGCTGCTACATGAATCACTACGGGCTGCTACATGAATCAATACGGGCTGCTACATGAATCACTACGGGCTGCTACATGAATCACTACGGGGTGCTACATGAATCACTACGGGCTGCTGTATGAATCACTACGGGCTGTTGTATGAATCACTACGGCCTGCTACATGAATCACTACGGGCTGCTGTATGAATCACTACGGGCTGTTGTATGAATCACTACGGCCTGCTACATGAATCACTAAAGCCTGCTACATGAATCACTATGGGCTGTTGTATGAAACACTACGGGCTTAAACATAAATCACTACGGCCTGCTACATGAATCACTACGGCCTGCTACATGAATCACTATGGGCTGTTGTATGAAACACTACGGGCTTAAACATAAATCACTACGGCCTGCTACATGAATCAGTACAGGCTGTTGTATGAATCACTACGGCCTGCTACATGAATCACTACGGGCTGCTGTATGAATCACTACGGCCTGCTACATGAATCACTAAAGCCTGCTACATGAATCATTACGGGCTGTTGTATGAAACACTACGGCCTGCTACATAAATCACTATGGCCTGCTACATGAATCACTACAGGCTGTTGTATGAATCACTACGGCCTGCTAAATGAATCACTAAAGCCTGCTAAATGAATCACTACGGGCTGCTGTATGAATCACTACGGGCTGCTGTATGAATCACTACGGGCTGCTACATGAATCACTACGGGAGGCTGTATGAATCACTACGGGCTGTTGTATGAATCACTACGGGCTGCTGTATGAATCACTACGGGCTGCTACATGAATCACTACGGGAGGCTGTATGAATCACTACGGGCTGTTGTATGAATCACTACGGGCTGTTGTATGAATCACTACGGGCTGCTGTATGAATCACTACGGGCTGTTGTATGAATCACTACGGCCTGCTACATGAATCACTACGGCCTGCTACATGAATCAGTAAAGCCTGCTACATGAATCACTATGGGCTGTTGTATGAATCACTACGGGTTTAAACATAAATCACTACGGCCTGCTACATGAATCACTATGGGCTTAAACATAAATCACTACGGCCTGCAAAAATGAATCACTAAAGCCTTCTACATGAATCACTACGGGCTGCTGTATGAATCACTACGGGCTGCTGTATGAATCACTACGGGCTGCTGTATGAATCACTACGGGCTGTTGTATGAATCACTACGGGCCGCTACATGAATCACTACGGGCCGCTACATGAATCACAACAGGCCGCTGCATGAATCCCTACCGGACGCTGCATGAATCCCTACCGGACGCTGCATGAATCCCTACTGGACGCTGCATGAATCCCTACTGGACGCTGCATGAATCCCTACCGGACCGGACGCTGTATGAATCCCTACCGGATGCTGTATGAATCCCTACCGGATGCTGTATGAATCCCTACGGACTGCTGTATGAATCACTACGGGCTGCTGTATGAATCACTACGGGCTGCTACATGAATCAATACAGGCTGAAACATGAATCACTACGGGCTGAAACATGAATCCCTACGGACTGCTGTATGAATCACTACAGGCTGCTGTATGAATCACTACGGGCTGCTACATGAATCACTACGGGCTGCTACATGAATCAATACGGGCTGCTACATGAATCACTACGGGCTGCTACATGAATCACTACGGGCTGCTACATGAATCACTACGGGCTGCTGTATGAATCACTACGGGGTGCTACATGAATCACTACGGGCTGTTGTATGAAACACTACGGGCTTAAACATAAATCACTACGGCCTGCTACATGAATCAGTACAGGCTGTTGTATGAATCACTACGGGCTGTTGTATGAAACACTACGGGCTTAAACATAAATCACTACGGCCTGCTACATGAATCACTACGGGGTGCTACATGAATCACTGCGGCCTGCTACATGAATCACTACGGGGTGCTACATGAATCACTACGGGCTGCTGTATGAATCACTACGGGCTGCTGTATGAATCACTACGGGCTGTTGTATGAATCACTACGGGCTGTTGTATGAATCACTACGGCCTGCTGTATGAATCACTACGGGCTGTTGTATGAATCACTACGGCCTGCTACATGAATCACTACGGCCTGCTACATGAATCACTAAAGCCTGCTACATGAATCACTATGGGCTGTTGTATGAATCACTACGGGCTTAAACATAAATCACTACGGCCTGCTACATGAATCACTACGGGCTTAAACATAAATCACTACGGCCTGCAAAAATGAATCACTAAAGCCTGCTACATGAATCACTACGGGCTGCTGTATGAATCACTACGGGCTGCTGTATGAATCACTACGGGCTGCTGTATGAATCACTACGGGCTGTTGTATGAATCACTACGGGCCGCTACATGAATCACTACGGGCCGCTACATGAATCACAACAGGCCGCTGCATGAATCCCTACCGGACGCTGTATGAATCCCTACCGGACGCTGCATGAATCCCTACTGGACGCTGCATGAATCCCTACCGGACGCTGCATGAATCCCTACCGGACGCTGCATGAATCCCTACCGGACGCTGTATGAATCCCTACCGGACGCTGCATGAATCCCTACCGGACGCTGTATGAATCCCTACCGGACGCTGTATGAATCCCTACCGGACGCTGTATAAATCCCTACGGACTGCTGTATGAATCCCTATGGGCTGCTGTATGAATCACAACGGGCTGCTGTATGAATCACTACGGGCTGCTACATGAATCAATACAGGCTGCTACATGAATCACTACGGGCTGAAACATGAATCCCTACGGACTGCTGTATGAATCACTAAAGGCTGAAACATGAATCACTATGGGCTGAAACATGAATCCCTACGGACTGCTGTATGAATCACTACAGGCTGCTGTATGAATCACTACAGGCTGCTACATGAATCACTACGGGCTGCTACATGAATCACTACGGGCTGCTACATGAATCACTAAAGCCTGCTACATGAATCACTATGGGCTGTTGTATGAATCACTACAGGCTGCTACATGAATCACTATGGCCTGCTACATGAATCACTACGGCCTGCTGTATGAATCACTACGGGCTGCTGTATGAAACACTACGGGCTTAAACATAAATCACTACGGCCTGCTACATGAATCACTACAGGCTGTTGTATGAATCACTACGGCCTGCTACATGAATCACTAAAGCCTGCTACATGAATCACTACGGGCTGCTGTATGAATCACTACGGGCTGTTGTATGAATCACTACGGCCTGCTACATGAATCACTACGGCCTGCTACATGAATCACTAAAGCCTGCTACATGAATCACTATGGGCTGTTGTATGAATCACTACGGGCTTAAACATAAATCACTACGGCCTGCTACATGAATCACTACGGGCTTAAACATAAATCACTACGGCCTGCAAAATGAATCACTAAAGCCTTCTACATGAATCACTACGGGCTGCTGTATGAATCACTACGGGCTGCTGTATGAATCACTACGGGCTGCTGTATGAATCACTACGGGCTGTTGTATGAATCACTACGGGCCGCTACATGAATCACTACGGGCCGCTACATGAATCACAACAGGCCGCTGCATGAATCCCTACCGGACGCTGTATGAATCCCTACCGGACGCTGCATGAATCCCTACTGGACGCTGCATGAATCCCTACTGGACGCTGCATGAATCCCTACTGGACGCTGCATGAATCCCTACTGGACCGGACGCTGTATGAATCCCTACCGGACGCTGCATGAATCCCTACCGGACGCTGTATAAATCCCTACGGACTGCTGTATGAATCACTACGGGCTGCTGTATGAATCACTACGGGCCGCTACATGAATCACTACGGGCCGCTACATGAATCACTACGGGCCGCTACATGAATCACAACAGGCCGCTACATGAATCACTACGGGCTGCTACATGAATCACTACGGGCTGCTACATGAATCACTACGGGCTGTTGTATGAATCACTACGGCTGCTGTATGAATCACTACAGGCTGCTGTATGAATCACAACGGGCTGCTACATGAATCACTACGGGCTGCTGTATGAATCACTACGGGCTGCTACATGAATCACAACGGGCTGCTACATGAATCACAACGGGCTGCTACATGAATCCCTACCGGACGCTGTATAAATCCCTACGGACTGCTGTATGAATCACTACGGCTGCTGTATGAATCACTACGGGCTGCTGTATGAATCACTGCGGGCTGCTACATGAATCACAACGGGCTGCTACATGAATCACTACGGGCTGCTACATGAATCACTACGGGCTGCTGTATGAATCACTACGGCTGCTACATGAATCACTACGGGCTGCTGTATGAATCACTACGGGCTGCTGTATGAATCACTACGGGCTGCTACATGAATCACAATGGGCTGCTACATGAATCACTACGGGCTGCTACATGAATCACTACGGGCTGCTACATGAATCACTACGGGCTGCTACATGAATCACTACGGGCTGCTACATGAATCACAACGGGCTGCTACATGAATCCCTACGGGCTGCTACATGAATCCCTACGGGCTGCTACATGAATCCCTACGGGCTGCTACATGAATCCCTACGGGCTGCTACATGAATCCCTACGGGCTGCTACATGAATCACAACGGGCTGCTACATGAATCCCTACCGGACGCTGTATAAATCCCTACGGACTGCTGTATGAATCACTACGGCTGCTGTATGAATCACTACGGACTGCTGTATGAATCGCTACGGACTGAAACATGAATCACTATGGGCTGCTATATGTACCAGCTTCCTGCTTTGAGGATTCAGAATGAGGACGCTATAGAGCGTAGAGCTGTGAGCTGACTTTAAAGTAACAAAAATTAAAATCTTTACAAAACATCACCGAAAGCCAGGCTTATAAAATGTATGTAGAATTAGATCACACAGTACCTGGGGGATCAGGACGTGTCTGGAGCAGATTCTTACATTGTTTTTTACCAACCATGCTGAGAACTGGATCTGGATCTAGGTTCACGTCTGAGGATCAGAGAACCAGCTGGAGAAAAGGATCAGGTTCAGTAAGTAACAAAGGCTGTAACTGTATTTGTGGAAATACCCTGAACTGGTTTTCTATCTGTCTAGTAAACAAAGAGCATCAGATGACAGATGATTGTTATGTGATAATAGTGGCTGTGTGATATGAATCACTACGGGCTGCAATATGAATCAATAAATAATGAATCCTAAATCACACTTGAGGCAGTGCAGCCAGAGGAACTGTAAAAGCACTTTCTGTGAAACACACTGAACACCCTCCAGCTCTGTGAGCTAGTATGACTACTTCTCTGGAACTTGAGCTGGTTTATGTTTGCGTAAACAATAAAGAACCGAGACTTGTGTAACTTGTTGGGGTATTTTGCATGCGTGATATTTACATGGAGATTGAGGCTCATGGTCTGTCAGTTCCATGGACTGAACTCTTTATTTAACAGTGCCAAGGGAAAGTTTTCCATTCTATGGCACCTTTAATAAAACTGCCCTTATCTGTTCAAAGCAAAGACAAACATAAAACAATCAGCAAGCATGTAGAGGTGTTTGTGTGTGTGAGAGTAACAACAGAGGGGGCAGTGAGAGTGGTGGTGGACATGATCACATGGGTGTCTCATCAGCCACTGATTAAAAATAGTGGATAGGCCCAAAAAGAAAATGGTTTAAACCCCTCTCTTCCTGAACTCACCACAATAACATGGAACACAGCTGGAACTAGACTGAACTTTGTGCCACAGGTATGTTGATGTTCATGTAGCGAGTGTATATGTGGAGGTTAGTATAGCTATATATAGTAACTAACACTCTATCACACACAGTGTATTAGCATTCAATTGAAAGGTGTTGTGTTAGTTTGGATAGTGTGTGGCTGTTGTCTCCACTCACAGTCACAGGACTAAAGAAGTAACGACCCAGCAGGGTGGTACTGATGCAAAATCTGCAGGCATGAAAGCTGTCATTTTGTAACCGGTGTTCAAAATTCAAAAATGTGTTTGGTAACACAAATCAAAGTAAGAAACAAAATAAAAGATCCAGAAATGAGTGAACTAAACAAAAATACCAGTGGAGCCGAATCATAAAGCAGAAAAACATTTCCATTAAAACAACAGTTCATTTGTCACAGAGCAGGAAATACAGAACAAGTTTCTAACAGTTCAAACCACACTGATCTGACAGATTTACCTGCTCAGATGGAACAAGATCGTCTACAGACTGAAAACCTAAACAAGAGAAACTCACCTGAAGACGACACGGACGATGAGACGATACGACTGCAGCTGGAGAAATAATTTCCTCTCTGAGAGACATAGAGAAAGAGAAAGAGAGTTTGGTATCTGTGAAAAGGTGTGCAGATTTATAGAATCTGTTATGTTAATGGGAGGCTCCTTACTGACATCTACTGCTCCACTTCACTGAGAGGGAAGAAGGACCTGCGGAGTCTACTGGGATCCTGATGGAAGGTGGACCACTCATTCCCAATGCCAATCCCAGGCCACCCCTGAAATCTCATTGGCCCCCCTGTGGCCACCCCAGACCTTATTGGTAGGTCATCAAGTTCATCACCACAAGAACCAAATACCAGTCAGTCAGTGATGACAGCTCAAATCTTTTGTTGATTTAGAGCCACACTGACCCAGGGTCAGTTTTCTATTTCTGACCATTATAGTAGTAGTGGGACTGATGCGGTGTGACCTGACCTTTTGTCAACGGGGGAAGCGGGCTCTTGGCTAGGTCTTAAGTAGACAGGTCAAAAGCAAGATGCTGGCGAGCTACCTTCCTCCTCCAACGAGGTAACGACATCGAGTTGTGGTCAAGAACTGAAAGCTGTTAACTGAGAGGTATGGTCATCCAACGTTTAATTTATCCCAAATTTCCATCTGATTGTGAAAACCTTCATGTAGCATGTCAACAGCAGCTAGCTTCAAGAGCGACCTAACAGCAGCTGATTGTTATCTTTATATCGACATGAAAGATGAAATGCGGTGTTTTCTGATTTAATGATGGAAGTGCGTAAATGTTCAATTCGCCTTATTCACCTACGTCACCATCTTAAACCAAAACGAGGCCGTGGGGGACCGAGGTAACGTTGGCCCTCTGTAGGCTACACCAACAATGCCGCAGCATTGCTGTGTTCCCAAATGTATTTTTTCCAAAAGAAATAAATCTTGTACAGGTCAAACCTTTCATCGTGTCCGCAGAGATCCTGTACTTTGCTGTGAATGGATTCACAAAATAAGAAGAGATCCTGGTCGCCATTTCAAGGTAAGATGGCGATGCAAACTACGCTAGCCATATTTAGGTTAACTAGCATAGAGCTAACCAGAATAGCTAGCTAGCTAAGCCAGCTAGTTATTCTGGCTAAATAGCTATGGTGTTAGCCATGAACCGGTTCTTTTTAATGTTAGAACGAGCGAGGGGCTGATTTGTGAGTAATGTTAAGCAAGTTGTTGCTCTTTAGACAAGCCTGGCTAGCTAACGTCCTCCCATGGCTAGCCGTGTCTTAAAACAGAGTGAAAACAAGAGGTGACCTTTGCCTGTTTATGATAACCATTGTTAATCTAAACTACTTTAAGCACATAGCTATAAACAATAACATTAAATATCTAACGTTACAGATCCACGTGGACACAAAGTATGTTCACAGTCTTTTTTTGAAAACTCTGGTTGGCATGCGAAAGGGTGTCGATAAAAGATCCTGGATCAGACACAGGGTGAGACACCAAACAGGGGTTTTATTGAAGAAACAACAGATAGTGCACTGAAGACTCCGATACGGTGGTAGCAGACAGCAGGCAGGCCAGAGTGATCCAAAACCTCAAAACAGGCTGGTAGGCTGAGTTTCCATTAGTAGGTATCCCCTGGGACAAAAGACCCACGTTTGGTGACGTTGAACGGACAGGAAAAAACACTAAACTATACCTAGTCAAGAGTCTGGCCTTGGCGAGTAGTTACCACTCGGTTGAACAGAAGGGAGAAATGAGCCGAGGTTTAAATCTACGGAGTTGATAGAAGGATTGACGACAGGTGTGTAGGAACTCCAGGAACACCAGCTGATAAGTGCCTGCCAGGTAGGGCCCGACCACGCCCACAAACACACACAGGAGACAAACAGCTGACCAACAGACACACATGGAAGGGAGAAACCAGGAACACACTAGGAGCTGGGGAGGATGCACAGCCAGATCCCAACAAAGGGTGCTGTTCCGGCTTTGTTTGCCTGGACTGAGCACCATGAGGCCTGCAAGGAGGTCTTTTGTCAGAGGAGCTACAAGGTACTTTTCTATGCAGTTTAATTCTAAGTCTTCTTCTTATTCTGCAGTTGGTGAAGAGGATGTGATGATTTTAGGTAAGTGACAAGTGTATCTCTTTACAGAGTTTTCCCCCTACCCTGGGTTCCATGAAAGTGCAATTGCTTTGAGTGATTGTACTTGTACTTTAAAACTTTTTAGATACCCTCAATATTTATAAATTCTTACAAATTCTGCATCACCAACTGAATGCATGTAGGTTCCCATGGCAACGTGATAGATGAAGCTTGTGTGACTGTACTTACACGACTTAATTCAGTGGTATTAACATGCGACTCAGTAAGTTGGCATTTATAACTTAAAGCCTCAGCTGAGAATCTATAGTGCTCATAGAGATTATCACCAGGAAAATTATTTGTGATAGGGCGGTGCATTTTATAGCCTAAACTAAAAATTCCTATTATAGCTGTCATTATTATTATTGTTATTATTATCATTATTATTATTATTATTATTATACCCATTAAGCTCACTTTGTAGCACACCCCTCCGTAGTTACCACTCACTCCTTTTGAAAATCTAAAATATCAAAATGATACATAAATTATACCAAGATATATTTCATGCTATCTGGGATCTAACCTTTCAAGAAGTAATAAAACTATTTGTAGTAAATAATACTGAGAGTTAAAAACGAATACATTGTTGGCATTGACAGCAGATTTCCAGAGCAGCTTATGTTGGAGGCAAATCAGATTCAGAATCAGAATGAGGTTTGTTGCCACTTTTAAGAGAAAAGCATTGTTTTGCAAGTGAATGGCCTCAGATTGGAGACTGATCACTAGTTTAAAATATACTCTCCTCAATATTTTCTTTTCCTTACACTTGCCGTGAGGAGACGGCCCCTCCACACCCAGATCATGATAAAGTTGAAATGCCCCCACCACTGGAGGAGCAACAAAGAATTAACTGCAGGTCTTCAAACCAGGCAGTCTCTCCTTCCAAGATTTCAGGGCGATGATAAGAACGTCATGTTTTTCACAGGCTGTCCTGATTACAACACACTCAAAGCAGTGTTTAAGGCCCTACAGCCCACTGCAGATGGAAGAGTGGATCCAGGCACAGCGACTAAGGCGAGCTGATGGGGAAGTTGTAAGGCAGGGGTTTAGCATTTCTAAACTGGCTGTCAATGACCAGATTTTCCTGTTTCTTTGGGATGTTAGCCAAGCTTTTCATGAACAGGATTGCAGTGAGCTTTGATGTGTCACAGTCAGCCGTAAGCAGGGTCTGTGTAACCTGGGCAAACTATCTACACATCACTGGAGCTCATGCCTCCTTGTTTCCAAAGCACTTTCCCCACTCACTAGAGCAATATTAGATTAGATCTACTCCCACTACAAAGGGAACACCACCTTTAAGGGCCTAGCTGGCATCTCTCCCTCAGGTCTGGTACATTTGTCAGTGACCTGTATTCAGGTTCGATATCTGACAAGGAGATAACAAGAGAACCAGGGATCCTGTCTCTACTTCAGGAAGGCGATGAGGTCATGGCCGATAAAGGATTTCTCATCAAGGACCCTCTCTCTGAAATAAATGTCTCCCTTGTGGTCCCACCCTTTTTAGGCCCAAGTGGACATTTCAGCCCAGAAGAGGTGAGACAGACACAAGCAACAGCCAGAGTTCGGGTTCACGTCGAGGGTACCGTTAGGGGGAACAAAGAGTATCAATATTCGATGGGGTCTTACCCATGACACTAGTGGG